TGTGTGTGTGTGCATGCATCTATCCGTGTATCTGTGTGTGCGTAAGTTGGGCAACTTTTAGTAACCAAAACAACTTCATTCCACCCCCACCCCACCCTTATCCCCTTCCAGGGATATGAGCACAGAGAACCTGCAGTTCCTGAGCAGCGAGCAGGCACTGGCAGACCTCGCTAACTTCCTTACCTGGCAGAGAAAACAACTGGGAGGGCCCAAGATCATCGTGTTTGGTGGCTCTTATGCAGGTACGGTTGAAATTCTCCAAGACAGCCACCCATTGTAAAGGAGAAAAGAGGTTTTCTTAAACAGGTGAACACCTTTGACAGTGTCATTATGATATCTTGCAAAACACACCAAAAAACCCACAAACAACAAAAAAACCCACAAACAACAAAAAAACCCACAAACAACAAAAAAACCCACAAGCAACAAAAAAAACCCAACAAAGATCGCAATGTGGGAAGTGGTCTTTGTACAGGAAATTATCTGTATGTATCAAGTGAATGTTGTATTATACTGTTATGGTCAGTGCACACTTGTACGATTCCTGGTCGGTTCTGCATCGATCTGCCGAAAGTCAGCCACAGTTTTGGTCTTTTTTCTCTTCATCGTATATTATATTGTCTTCTGTACGGCTGTGAATGCTAGACAAAAAAAGAAACAAAAACACCAACAACAGTAGCAGCATCACCACCACCACCAAAATCAACAACAATGTCAACATAAAAAACAACAGCTGCAACAATAACAACAAATACAAAAACAAAACAACTCCCCCTTCCAAAAGCAGTGAAAATGCAACAGCAGCAACAAAAATGTGCTTACTTGGGAGACTGATGAGGATTTCATGGAAGGAAAAGAAATCAAATCAGGTAGTACTCGAAGAAGCCTGTGTTGACCGTTCTCTAATAAAAACAATTAGGCAGAGACAAATGCAATTTCTGGGACATTTGGATAGACATAATAAGGGCCTTGAACATCCAGCTCTCACTGGCAATTGAAAGCTTACGTGCGTGACACCGACTTACTTGGAAAGACTAAACAGTCGGGTGACGGGGAATGATCAGTATGCTATAGCTGGCTGGGTTGTTGTTTTTTTAGAATAGCTTTCGAACAAAGGACTTAAAAGCAAACCAAGATTGCCGGTGTCCATCGTAGATGTGGCACTTGATGATTATGTCCCCATAAACATTTTGGGTACAACTTCACGCATTTCCAATTTCAAACTAGCATATTTTTGTGGATCACGACCGAGTCAGGCGTAGGGCAAGAACCTGCTCGCCCTTCTCTTCCCCCCCTCTCTCTCTCTCTCTC